TCACCAACCAACCACCTTCTCTACAGATTACGTCCTGGCTTCCCTCTAATTTATCTCTCTGAAGACCACATTCTTCAAGCTAGCTTCAAGCCTCATCATGGTTTGTGTCTGCGATTTGGAAAACTGTCTGGGTCGAGACCAGCCTTGTGTGGCCCCGTCTGCAGGGGCAATTTGAGAATCTGTTGCTGGATCTCCCCAGACCACCGTGGGATCACAAGCCTTATTCATACCACAAGTCTGTTTGTGGTTTTTGCAAGAGCCTTCCTGTAGTGAAGGTTCCAACGCTCTTGAGGATCATGCTTCAATCAAGCCTGTTTGCGTCGAGTCTGCGTCGGGTCTTGTTGTTTCAGGTACCCCGTGGAGCTTTATTCTCAGGGACAACTACAGGAACTCTTTGAGGTTTGAGACTACACCCATCAAGCTGAAGAAGATCAAGAAGGGACACGAGGAGAATATGATAAAACAGGAGGGAATGTCATGGAAATTTTGTATTGTTGGTCGAACTTTAAATGTGTCATATATTCGTGTTATTCATATGTCTCTCGTGTGGCTTAATTAAAGCTCTGAAGGCTGCAATTGGGCCATGCGCATGTACAATGTATGTATTACAGTACTCAGCTTGGTAATGGATGAGATGGCAGATCTGCGCTTATAGACCGGCGTGTATGCCACCACGGCATTCGATGCGAATGTCGCTGGCAGTAGACCGTGGGCCTGTATCCACATATCAGCAGCATAGTACCACATGGGCTTCATAACGCAAGGCGCCAAGCGGTGTGAACTCCACGTGTAGGCTTATGCATATCTTACAACCCATTACCAACTTGAAATTGTATCTTGGATGGATGTGTTTTAATAAAGATCGTATCGGGCCCATCCAGGTACAGACTGGTGTTTAGCTTAGGGAATACTTGTACAAAGGATTTGCATGCCAATGGGAGCTAGTAGGACAGGAAATATGACCTCAGATGGCTCATGGGGGGGAAGGGGAGGAAGTCTGCTGACCTCAGAAGGCTCATGGGGGAGGACCAGTGATAGATAATAGGAAAGGCTATGCTCCAATCGGAATGTACATCCTGTGTATAGGCACTCCCCATTGCATTGTTCGGTGGGAGGGGATTGACTTTATTCATGTGGGGGGCATGTGTGTATTTTTAATAAAACAGAGAGCTGAGTCTGAAACCGGCCCTTATGTGAATTCAACCATCATCCTGAGAGTGTCGTTTGATCATTCTAGGGTAACGGAGCTCCACCCCCACATTTCAACAGAGCTAATCCATTTGGATGGGCAGGAATCGTGCAGTTTAGCTGCAGTCGTGGTAAGCGAGATTCGCACAGCTTTATGGGGGATTTTCTGCGCAATCAACTGCGAGTACTCACGGTAAGGAGAAATTTGTTAAAGCGAATTTCCAAGACAGTTGTCACTACACCAGCACCTGTAACAGCAAACAGCAAGACCAGTAAACTTCATTCTTCTCTATGTTACTCTTCCCTTCTCAATTACCAAAGTCTCCCATATCTCCATCTCTGTTTTGCTGTAGCTTCAAGAAGGAATAATTCAAGGTATATAAGTTGTTGGTTTGGACTTCGCTTTACCATACTTAATTTTTGCAGTAAGGGAAGTGTCACAGTCCTCCACAGGGTTTCTCTGTTCTGAGCTCTTGTATGGTAGATGTCCTTGGGGGCCCCTAGGTGTAGCATGTAAGCACACTTTACTAATGTGCGTAGGTGCATTTCCGTGGGCTAACGTCTACTTTTTAACCACTAACCTACAGGGCACTTATACCCCCTTCCTGCCCAGGCCAATTTCCAGCTTTCAGCGCTGTTACAGTTTAAATGACAATTGCGCAGTCATGCAACACTGTACCCATATGAAATTTTTATCATTTTTTGTGACAGATAGAGCTTTATTTTGGTGGTATTTAATCACCTCTGGGCTTTTTTTTCTTAAACAAACCAAAAAAAAACACTGAAAATTTTGAAAAAAAAAAAAAGTTTTTTCTTAGTTTTTGTTATAAAATTTTGTAAATAAGTGATTTTTCTCCTTCACTGATGTGCGCTAATGAGGCTGCAGTGATGGGCACTGATAGGCTGCACTGATGGACACTGATAGGTGGCACTGATGGGCACTGATGAGGAGGCACTGGTAGGTGGCACTGATAGGCATTGACAGGCATCACTGATGGGCACTGAAAGACAGCACTCATATATGGCACTGATAGGTGGCACTGATAGGTGGCACTGACTGGCACTGATAGGCGGCACTGACTGGCACTGTTAGGTGGCACTGACTGGCACTGTTAGGTGGCACTGATGCACACTGATAGGCGGCACTGACTGGCACTGATAGGCGGCACTGACTGGCACTGATGGGTGACACTGAAAGGAAGCTCAGATGGGCACTGATATGTGGCATTGATGTGGCACTGATGGGCACTGAAATGTGGCACTGATGGGCACTGGCAGGTGGCATGGATGAGCACTGACAGCTGGCACTGATGGACACTGACAGGTGGCGCTGCTGGGGCTATACAGACAATCAGGACACACTGATCATCAGTGCCCTGATGATCTGTGTACATGTCCACTACAAGGAATGCCGATTACCAGCTCTCCTCTGCTTACAAGCTGTCAACGTGACACCTCTTGGGGAGAGAAATGCCAATAACCGGCATTTCCCTGTTTACATGTGATCAGCTGTGATTGGACACAGCTGATCACATGACCGAGCCAACATCTTGCCCTACTTAGATAGCAGCTCTGCCAAACCAAGAAAAAGACGGTTTATCCCATGTTTGCAGATCTTTGGTAATGTTGCGTAAGATGGGTAGGAAGTTTTTGGCATAGAGATCTTTGAGATGGGTTGGCAGTTGGATTCCTAAATAGGTGATGGCTTCCGATTGCCACGTGAACGGAAAAGTAGATTTCGCTTGTCTAATCGCATCCTGAGATAGGGAAATATTGAGTGCTTGGGATTTAGTGAAGTTTATTTTAAAATTAGCCAGATACTGAAACAGGTTGAAATCTTGTAGAAGGTTAGGTAGTGTAATGTGTGGATGTGTCAAGAATAGAAGGATGTCATCAGCGAAGGCCGCTATTTTGTGAGTTTTGCCATTTATAGAAATCCCTTGAATATTGTCATTCCGTCTGATGCAATTCAAGAAAGGTTCCAGTGTAAGAATAAAAAGGAGGGGGGATAACGGGCAGCCCTGTCTGGTCCCATTACTTATGGAAAAGGCCTCTGACAGAAGGCCATTGACTTTCACTTTAGCCGTCGGGGCAGTATATATAGCGACATGATAAAGTTCAGAAGACGGGGAGGGAGCCCAATGCCAGCCAGAACTGCTTCCATGTAGTCCCATGCCAACCTGTCAAAGGCCTTTTCAGCGTATAAAGAAAGGAAGAAGCCAGGTTGTTTCTTCAGGGTTAACCAATGGTGTACATTAATTGCCCTAATCGTATTGTCTCTAGCCTCTCTACCGGGGACGAACCCCACCTGGTCCGTAGAGATGATAGAATCTATGATATGTAATAAGAGATTGGCCAGTATCTTGGCGAAAATCTTTAGATAATCGTTTAACAGGGATATCGGGCGATAGTTTACTGGCAATGTCTGGTCTTTATTTTCTTTAGGAATTAGTGTGATATGGGCTTCGGAGAGATGGCGCATAGACTGTCCAGGGGTTTCTAGTAAGTTGAAAGCTTTTAGGAATGGGTGTGCTAGGACGTCAAGGAAAGATTTGTAATATGTAGTAGTAAGTCCATCAGGTCCCGGACTTTTGCCAGGTTTTAATTGTGCAATGGCCTGTTGTAATTCTTCCAGCGTCAAAACACCATCTAATTCTTTGGCTTGCGACTGGGAAATGGGCTTAGGGTGGAATTGAGCAAGAAAAGACTGGATGATGACCTTACGTGGTCTAGTGTCCCCTGATGGTTCGGGTGATAATGGTAGGTTGTACAGGGAGGTATAATACTTTTCGAATTCGGCTGCGATATCCATGGAGGTGGTAAGTGAGTGACCGTGTTTAGAGTGGAGTTGAGAGATGGTACGAGATGCTTTTTTAGACTGCAAGTCCCCGGCTAAGAACTTGCCGCACTTATTGCCATGTTCATAAAAAAGTTTTTGTGTTAAAACATAATTCCGCTTCGTTCTCTTTTCCACAATGTCTCGTAGTTGTTTGCGGGCCTGGTCAAGTTCATGTACAGAATCGAACGCCTTGGAGCGCTTATGTAAACATTCCAGTGTACGCACTTTTTGGATTATGGAGGTAAAAGACGCTTGAGCCGTACGTTTCCGAGAGGCAGATATGGAAAGCAAAAGTCCACGAATCACACATTTATGTGTGCTTCCCATTGAGTGAGGGGAGTTGTTTCCGGGGACGAGTTTTCCTTAAAATAATTGGTTTGGGATTCCCACATTTGAGAAATAACGGATGAATCGGTAAGGAGAAAGGAATCCAGTCTTCATGTTTTAGATGTGGGAGGGGCATCGGGAAGCTATATAGTCATCGTAATCGGGTGGTGGTCAGAAAGAATTATTGGTTCGATGGAGGCAGATTTCAATGTGTGTAAGTCTTTTTGTGAAAGAAAGAGGTAGTCAATTCTGGAATGACGTTTGTGCGGTGCTGAGAAAAACGTGTAGTCTTTATCCGTGGGATGCAAGGTACGCCACGTATCATGGAGGAGAAGGTCATTCAATTCAATTTTAATCTGTTTAAGCGCTCAGTAGGGTTGTGAAGAGCAGCCTGACGATGTATCTATTAAGGGATTTAGTGCTACATTAAGATCACCTCCAAGAGAACCGGTTGAAATGCTGCTAGAATTTTGGAGATTTTACGAAAGAAGCTTACTTGAGCTGTATTAGGGCTATAGATGTTTGCTAAAGTGAACGGTTTGCGGTGTAGGGTGCCTTTAAGAAAGAGGAACCTTCCCTTCGGATCCTCAAGAGATTTGGTAATCATGAACGGGAGAGTTTTGGAGATCAAAGTGGATACCCCCTTAGCTTTTACCTCTTTGTTAACTGAATGGTAAGCTGTTGGATAGTTAGCGTTGGCAAACTTAGGGATGTGATCAGCACGAAAATGAGTTTCCTGAATAAAAAAGCACGTCTGCACGCAGCTTTTTCATGTAGGTCAGGAGTTGTGAACGTTTTTCCGGAATATTGAGGCCTCTTGCGCTAAGAGATGCCACAGTGAGCGTCTGGTGAGCTCGTATAGATGTGCGTTTAGTGTACATTTTAATTTGGGACATAGAGAAAAAAAAAAAAAAGGGGGAATAAAGGTATGGGGAAGAGAGGGTGGTTGGGAGAAGAACAGAGGTAGAAGAACGAAGTAGAGGTGAAAGAGAGAGTGTAAAAGATTTCAAGAAATCAGAAAACAGTAGAGGTGAGAAGCAGTAGGCATATACATTCAAAAACATACAAATGTAATGATGTCTAGACCCAATACTTCTCTTTAGGAATAAATTCCGGAGACAGAGTAGTCCAGCCGCACTGTCCTATAAAAGCAGTCTGCTACGTTGGAAAGGTACTTGTCATGTGTGTATGAGTGTATAGTAGAAATCGGAGTTTTGTCAGAACCAGAGGTGACCTTCGGGGGGTGCCTCAGGGCAGCCCCAACAAAAACCTTGGGGGCCTGTCAGATATCGTGTAAATGAAAAGAACGTGTAACGTATAGTCCAATAAAAGAAAGCCAAGACACAAGGAGGTAGGTGGATGTCAGCTAATTGTGAAGGAGACAAGTTCATATGGTAGAATGGGGCTACACATTGATGATACTACATAAAAAAGTTTGTTAGACGTAATACGAAAATTATTTGTGGGCGGGAGTCGAAATGGTCACCCATGTGTATAAAAGGAGTATGGTCTGAGGGCCATAGCTAATGTGTTCAGTCACGTGTAACCTTATTTTGGAAGGGCATTATGGTGTGACTATATCACGGAATGTAATGTATTTTATATAGATACCGTACAATAGTGTCACAAGGTAAGCAGTAAATAATGGTAGAGATTCGACAAATCTGCAACTGGTCACATGTCATGTAGTACATTCCTAGAAAACAGTATGCTAAGGTTGCTTCCAATATGTCAAGTTCGACTGCAAAAAAACATTAATTGTATACTAAACCATAAAAATCGCAAACACGTGATGCAATAGTGTTCAGAAATATAGGTCGGCCAACCCTCAGGTTAAACTGCTGCTCTATAGACCTAATATAGGAGAACCAGTGAACTCAAACGGGATGTAGTACGCTTTACAACTAAGCCACAACTTTACATGGAAACAAAATTCCCACAACAAGAGAATAAGAGAAACCACTGAAAAAGTAACATGTGGTAGTAGCCAGACGAGAGCGTTGTCCAGCTTAATCCAAATACATTTAGATACATGCCAACACAACCTTAAATCACACTGATAGTATGCAGAACGGCATAATGAAATCCTATTTCTTATACATGATGCTGCATCATGTCTGAAGATAGTGAAAAGGCTGGATTTAGAGCGCTAGGTGAACCCTGGATTACTAGCGTAATCATACCCAAACTTGAGAAGAAATTAAAGGCAGTCAAGCTGCAATAGGATGGATAGGTGGTATGAAATGGAATAGATACTGGGGGGGAGGGGTATTAGAGCATTACCAGCATAATCTCATTGGTGAATGCAAACATTTGGGTGCATGGGTGAGCATAGGGGGGGGACATTATAGTCAGGAAAGAAGGTCCTATGAGCATACAAGTACTGAAGACTTTTGCAAAAAAAAAACATATTTGGTGGTGTATATACTTCGGCAAGGCAACATTCTGCTCCAGCCGTATCACAAAGCTGTAATGTCAAACATGAAATCACATAAGTCAGGTTCCTTCCCGAGGCGCCCGCAGGCCATCAAACGTACCTGGCGGGCAACTCAGGAAAGCTTCAGTATAGCATACTGATGTAGCCCTGTTTTGGGGGGGGGTTATGTGAAATGGCCCACACCAAACAAGCTATGGCGCTAACCTGTATATGAGTAGGCAATCCTGAGCCTTCGCTATATGGAAGAGGGGGTTGTGATAATACAAATGGCAGTGCCTCCACCTAGAATAGGGATCCTGCAATTGAGGAGACTCACCCCTTTCTAGGAATGTAACAGGTAGACAACTTAAAGTAACTATACATAGCAGTATTAATGCACCCAGCTTATATTTCTAACATGAAAACATGTCACCACACCTGTATGAGATTAATGCAAAGTTTATATAAAGCAGCCACATAAAACAGGATGCATAAGAATAACATTCAGGAATTACAATTTAGCATAAATTGGGAGGTTGCAATTATACCCGGGTATATGTGCATGTAGTAAACAGAATACCTCCAACCATGGGTTATAGCGCAGTCCGGTTGCAGGGCCCCCTGGAGAGGTGAGAGTCCATAAGATGCACGCTTCCACTTTAGATGCTGTGATGGCGTCCAAGTAACATGCGGATGATTGCACTGCTTGTCTGAAGATCAGCGATGCATCACCTAAAAGGATAAAATGCCCTATCTATCCTTACTCTTAGTCCCTATCC